TAAACTACAACTAAACAGGAACCAAACAGTAACTAAACTACAACTAAACAGGAACCAAACAGTAACTAAACTACAACTAAACAGGAACAGAACAGTAACTAAACTACAACTAAACAGGAACTAAACAGGAACTAAACAGGAACTAAGCTGGAGCTCAGAGCCCTGAAGGTTCCAACAACCACATGTATAAGTGTGCTAGCTGACAGAACCGTTGTGGTCTCCAGGCCTGAGGTGAGGTTCTGGTCGGTGCCCGGTGCTTCCTGCCCGTGTGCTGCTGTGAGGATCAGCACCACTTATGCTCGGTATCGATCAGCGGCCGGTTTAATGGCCGTTAACGAGCAGGAAGCTGATGGCGCAGAGACGCTGTGAACGACGGCGCTTCACTCGGAGCCACTGAGAGCCGACGGACTGAAGCCCGGCGTGGAGCCCGTCCATCACGTCTGTCTTCTCCCTGATCGATCTGACGAGCAGCTCATCAGCAGGAAGTCCACGCTGAGCGACTCCACCTGCAGATTAGCAGAACCAGTGACTCATAAACCGCCAAACAGCTGCAGCAGATTAAACCTGCAGCCGGGTTATTGTCTGCTGCTGTGATGAGAACACGTTGAGGATTTAGGAAGCAGAACCACCTCTGTGTGAGTCTGGCCTCTTTTTATGGCGATTCAAAGTGTTCTGGTGTTTTCTGGTCCTTTCCCTGAACGGACCGGCAGCAGAGCAGCTGCACGTGTTCTCACAACCTCTGATCAGAACAGTACTGGCTGTCGGTTTGCACTTTTTGTGCTGATTCTGCAGCCGGTTCTGGAGGTTTTGCGGAGAGAGTTCATGTGTAGCTGTGAACGTATCTGAGAAATGAAGCTGCAGCAGTCCGTCCGGATGGTTCTGTCAGTCTGTGGAGGTGACTGACAGACGGTGTTCTGGTGTCGTTTGAGTAAACCTGCCCGGCTGTAGGGACAAGGGAGGGAGGTTCTGACAGCACCAGGAGCTCTATCAGCACCAGGAAGGTGTTTGTAGGACAGCCAGACACACAGTAGGTGGAAGTCGGCCATTTTTAACCATATAAGGTAAAACAGGACGATGACTGCAGGCTGCTCTGATTGGCTGAAACCTGAGGAGAGACTTTGTGGGATTCATCATGTAAACACTGATTCAGGTCCGGGTGGGTCCAGTGGTGCCGGTGCTGTAGAGGAGGCTCAGAACACGAACCACACACACATCACAGAACATCCTGTTGTCATGTTTGTTCCTTTAAACCCATAAAACATCAGCTGATCAGAGGCTCTAACGCTCAGCATCTCTCTGATCGGCTGGGTTTTGTTCTTCCATCAGAACCATCAGAACCTTCTGCTGAAACGTCTGTTCACCTGAAATGGTTTCTAAATCATAAACTGGATATTAATAGATTGATATATGCAGAGAGACTTCCTGTCTGGAGCCACTGAGTGATTCTGTGGTTCTGTTCTGAGACCCTCACCGTTAAGCTGCAGTGTTCTGTGTTCTGTTGGATCCAGGTGAGTGCTACGTCTGTGCCTCCAGTGAACCGTACCGGAAGGTCGACTACACCAAGATCAGCATCCCCAGCTGGAAGCCCGGCGCCAGCAGCAGCACCGGCACCACCGGACCCACCCGGACCTCCACGGTGTCGGCGGGCGTGTCAACCAGCGCCGCCGCCTCCAAAGACCGAGCCGAGGCTCGAGAGGGCCGAGAGAGCAAAGACTTCATCAAACCCAAGCTGGTGACGGTGATCCGCAGCGGGGTGAAGCCTCGGAAGGCGGTCCGGATCCTGCTGAACAAGAAGACGGCCCACTCCTTCGAACAAGTTCTGGCCGACATCACCGAGGCCATAAAGCTGGACTCTGGAGCCGTGAAGAGGCTCTACACGCTGGACGGCAAACAGGTGAGTCCAGACAGAGTTTACCTGAAACAGCTCGAGGTCCAGTAGAACCAGAACCTGGCTGATGTCTATGTACAGATACGTCATGATGTTATACTGATCTAGTCTGGAGGGATGTGGGCTTGTTTAGTTCTGGTTTCAGGTGTTCAGTACTTGGACACATTCTCAGTGACTGTGGGTCATTTGGACCTGTTCAGCTTCAGGTTCTGATGTCTTCTGTCTCCTGGTCCTTCAATTCAATTCCATTTTATTTGTAAAGCGCATATTTACAACAACAGTCATCTCATAGCGCTTCACAAAGACAGAAACACCCAACAATCCAAACATCTGGATTCCCTATAAGCTTCAGCAGTCTGCTGGTGGGACGGAACCGAAAACCCCCGCAGGGGAAAAAAACCTCGGACAGAACCAGGCTCAGGGAGGGACGGCCATCTGCCTCCACCGGTTGGGTGGATGTAGGATGAATGATAACATTTAGTTTACAGTTAAACACTTCACTGGTTCATGTTTCGACATCAAGTCCTGCAGCTCTGTGGAACCAGAACCACATGAAGGAGGAGACAGAACTCAGAGACGTCTTCTGTCAGCAGGACTCAGTCAGAACCATGGAACCCAGAAACAAGAGAACGAACCGTGAACGTTGCTCACAGCTGAGTCAGTCATCAGTTCACTGGTACTGAAGTCTGATCAGAACCAGTGGAGACGGATCCTCAGACCCTGAAGTCTGACCAGAACCAGTGGAGTCAGACTATTGATGAGTTACTGATGTTTATTGTTGTTGTCTACATGTGGCCTCATCAACGGGTCCGACTGGATTTAAAGCAGTTTAATGAAGGTTTTAGTTGCTCTGCACCTGACGGGCCCACTGGGTTCAGTCTGAACGCAGCAAGGACCGTGTGTGTGTGTGTGTGTGTGTGTGTGTGTGTGTGTGTGTGTGTTGTGTTTGGTCCTTTCAGTTTGTGCAGCAGGACAGAAACCTTCATCTAACACTGTGACACTGCAGCGTGGTTACCGTGGCAACCGGCTATCCAATAACAATCCCCCTTACCCCCCCCC